GGTTTTGAAGGGACTGAGCTAATGTAATCGTGGAGTATGCAGGGTGAAATCTTTAAGAAAAAGAGTGTACTGTATGGAACTGTTTATAATTTCACATAGCTGCATCTTCCAGTGTTTCTATCATAATTTGTAAACTGGATATCATGCTTAAAGAGACACTCACCTTCTGAATATGTGAATATATGCTACAGTTTTATTCAATACATTTGTAAACTATTTTTACATTTGAAAACTATAGAACTTATTTACCAGTTGTAATTTCATCTTTCTTTAAACATGCATTCAGTTTTTCACAAAATTAAGTTAAATACTTATACATATTTATATTTATAAAATATTTTAGCATATATATATATATATATATACACACACACACACACACATACATATTCATATACATTTTCAGATCCTATTCTATGACCCCAATCATTAGCAGAGATATGGACACATGCCCTGCCATTGGGTAGCCAATTCTCTTGCCCGAGTGCTGAGCTGGATAAGAGTAAGTGTCTCTCAATATCCTGTCTATTAATGAAGATGAACAATGTGAGGTAAAACTGAAACTAACCTATGAATGGTGATTTGCTTGCTGCTTACTCCCTTCCAGGTAGTAGAAGGAAGGGGTGCAATGATGACAACAGGGTAGCACCTCCCATTGCCATAGGTGGCAGCAGTGTCACTGTGGTTATGGGGTTTCTAGAGTCAGCAATAAGGACATTGCTATTCGATACAGAGCTTTGGGTGAGCCAAAAATCTAAGGGGATCATTTGGCTGAGCAGCTAAAAAAGCAGACACTCAAACGCAAAAGTGAATGCAAAGCTTAATATACCAACACTGAGCTACTCTCCACTGTTGACTAAACTGCAATGAGGCAGAGCTATGGAGGCCCGCACTGGGCATGAAGAAGGGGGCTCCTGTGTCTAGATGCTGCCAGATGTTTGCCAGTACACAGAGAAAGAAGCAGCCCTCTCCTCCGCGCTGACTTTCACGCTAGAGGTCAAGGGCGAAAAACTCCCTCCCTGCTGGTCCTCCCTATCTACCTCCACATCCAGCATCCTCTTCTCCCTGCACTCCATGCATCCCAGGCCCATCTGTACCTGGTCCTGTGGAGGAAGCTCCTGAATTCAGCTAATCCGATGTGGGCAGGGTTCTCAGTGAAGAAGGGAGACTGACGTGACCTTGTACATGAGGGTCTCTGGGCTAATTCAGTATACTCCTTTTGTGCCTTCCACTTCTGAATGCATAATTGATATTGATGTTTAAGATGCTTGTACTGGGAATATCCAGAAATGTCAGTGGGAATTCACTCATTCAGGCAGGGATAGCCAAATAGACAGAGAAGGAACCCTGTCTCCTACTGTGGGGTCGGACAGAAGCAAATGGAAACTCAGGAGATGGGAATTATTTCACAGTATTAGTGAAATACATGATGGCTATAGAGTACTCAGAGATATCACATCCCAGTGCAGCACGCCATCTGGGTCATGCAGACACTAAGATAAACCTTTAGAATCAAAGACAATCATGAACCTGGCTACTCAGCTCTTATGGAAGCTGAATGCCTGACCAGAGAGGCTTCATAATTCTCTGGCCTGATGTTCTCTTTTTGGAGTTTGTCAGCTTAGACTCAATGACTAACAAGGGAAGGGCCAAAGAGGCCTCACTTTTCAAACAAAAATCATATATTTAAGGGTGTAGCTGGCCTGGTGTTACATGAATAAGTGGCACCTGCATCAGCAAGGACAACTTTCCTTTCCACCCCATCACTTGAAGCAAAGTCACTTGCTCCATAGATCCCTTCGTTACGAAGGTCCCCTAAATTCCTAAATTGGTTCTCTAATGGTACGGCTAAGTTAAAATCTGATGGCATATATTAGGAGGCAGCTGTCATCCAACCTGAGTGGTGACATTGGGAAACCAACAGGAAGGTTACGGATGCCTCTCATTTGAGTTTGGCTGCAAACTGTGGCAACAAACCACAGCCATGGATAGAATGGTCAGCATCACTCACAGGGGTGGTCTCCGTAAGGGACCGCTTTTCTGTAAAAAACAGACAGTGCTCAGGCTGCTGCTAAAACCTGAACCATCCAGATCTCTGCCACCAGCACCACAACTAGTCATCATAGAAGAAAAGGCACCACCTCCGCCATGATAACTGGAAACAAAGCAAAGAATAAAATGTTTCTGATGTAGATGAGGCTACATGCTGGACTGGCCATCCCTTCCAAAACTCGGCCCGTTTGACTTGAGGCTGAAAGATCACATCGCATCCGACTCCTTCCTGAGACCATTTGAGGTGCCTCAATGCCACCAAGACTTAGGTTTCCAGTGTCACTTTCACAGTCTGACCAGTTAACTCTGGTCATAGCATCGTGACCCTTGAAGGCAAACTGTGTACATATTTTTTCCTGCCACAAAGGATGTTAACAACCTGGCATAGTCATGGTTATTTTATGGTCATTTTATTCATCTTATCAAACACAGGATGCTGGCATTATTGAGTGGTAGAAAGAATTTTAAAAAGCCTACTCTACATCTTGGTTAACCTACAAACTGTTCTGGAAGCTGGAAGTCAAAAGTTGGTGTCACTGGGCTGAGAGCAATGTGTCAGTGGGGCTATGCTGCCTCCCGAGGATCAAGGAGGAAATCTGTTGTTTCCTTCCTCCATCCTCTCGCATTCCTTTGCTGGGGGTCCCATCATCCCCATCTTCAAGACCAGCGTTTTCAAATAAAACCTCTGTCCGTTTTATCTTCACATTTCCTTCTCTCCCATGTAAATGTCAAGCCTCCCTCTGGTTCTGTCTTCTGGTACAGGCTGTGACATTTAGGGCCCTCCTGGATAATGCAACATAATCTCCCCTTCTCGAGATCTTTCATTGAATCATACCTGCAAAAATCCTTTTTTTGAAAAAAAATAATAACATTGACAGTTTTCAGGGATTAGAACCTGGCATCTTTGGGGGCCATTATTCAGTCTGCTACAACTAATAACTATTTTGCTGATTTCTACTGGTTTCTTAATAGCCACAGAGAGTTTTCTATCAAAGACTAAAACAAATGTTTCATTAGACTGTAAACATAGACGGTTGCTTGTCTGCTTCATAATCGCCGTGCTGTCACGCAGAACAAGCAGAGGCAGAGTTCTCTGAGAGCAGAATGATTAGGATTAGCGCTGCTGCTACAGAAACCGGATCAACGGGATTATGCAGGAGGCTCTCTGCTGTGTAAGAACTGGGATAATCCCAGCTAGTCTGTTGTGCTCAAGTAACTCATAACCTCAGCTAACTCTGTGCATGCCTCGGCATTCCTGCAGCTCTGGTGCTGACCTTCATCAAACCTGAACGAATTGTACTGAGGAACGATTAAGGTAGTGCTGTGCTGGGCTAATCCATGTAGTAACGTGCAATGGTCCAAGGCAGACCAGGTGAGCACCAGCCTCAGCTGATCAGCAATTTTAACAGAATACACACACACACACACACACACACACACACACACCTATATCTATATCTATAATCTATCATCTATTTATCTGTCTATTATCTATCTACCTACCTATCTACCTACCTATCTTTCTTTCTCTTGGTTTCTGTCACTGGTGCTGACCCCCCCCCGGCTTGATTTTGGCCACGTGACTCAATGTCCTTGGTTTTTCCTCATGTCCCGAAGGACTTGGTTTTCGTGTTCTGACCTCCAGTTGCCTCCCCCACTGGCCTCTGCATCCCATCCTCTCCCACCCTTGTCCATAAAAGGGAAAGGATTCCCTCTTCAAGGCAAACATGGTGTTTTTGTCTTTACTTCTGAAAAATCAAATGGCAATAAAACATGATAAAAATGCATTTTTGCCTTACTTTTCCTTCGATCTCCTGCTCCTGTGCTTTGCACCCCATCTAGCAAAGCTCTTGGATGTAGTTGTCTGGGGGCTGTGTCTCCAATTTTCCTCTCACCGCTCTGGAATTCACTCCAAGCTGACTTCGTCATGTCTGCCCCCTCCCCACTGCCCCCCTTTCTCTCTGTTCCCCAGCCACACTTAGCACCCTTGTTGCTCCTGGAGCACAGTGTGTGCATGTTTTACCTCAGGGCACTCGCATAGGCTGTTCCCTCCACTGAAAACCTTTTCTCACCCCTCTCTCACCTTTTTTAAGTCATTGCTAAGAAATCACTTTTTCACTGACACCTACCTACCCTGACTAACAGAGTGGTTCACATCTTTTCCATTAATTCTAATAACTTGGTTCGCTGGATCTGTCTGTTGGTTTTTGAATAAGTATACTCTGATTATGATTTTGTTAATTTCTTCTTTAGTGCTGTCAGATTTTGTGCTGTATGGCTTAGTGTTACCTTGTTAGGTTCGTAATTGTTTATGATTATTTTATCTTTTTTGTGTTTTCTTCCTTTGTTATTCAGTACCCCTTCTTAATCCTTTGTAACAGATTTTCATTAAAGTGTGTGTGTGTGTGCGCGTGTGTGTGAGTGTGTGCGCGCGCATGCGCGCACACGCAGTGCACATGCTCTTCTTCTAGTTATTTCCCTGGTCTGTCTTTGCAATCCCTTTATTTTCCACTTGTCTGCATGTGTATGGTTATGTGTATATTTTGTTGTGTTACTTGTAAATAGTACATGGGGGAACTTTTAAATTCCATAGATAATACTCTTACATGATAGCTTACATTCAAAATATTTACATTTATTGTGATTATTACATGTACATTAAAATTATTTCTATGTGTTTACTTCTTATCATTTTTAACATTTCTTTCCTTTTCTTCCCCTTCCGCCTCTTCACTTTTGCTTCAACTCACTGTGCGTGTTCTCTCGCTCACACAGCTGCTGCTTAGTTAGCCTATCTCCAACCCTCCCCTGGGGTCTCCTTGCCAAATCTAGGCTCACCTAAACCAGTTAGGGTTGCTGCACATTATACTAATGAGTGTATTTCATAGCAAGCATGTGGGCCATGAGTCACTCAGCTCAGCTCCTCTCCCCAAGCTCTGTCTGCTTACCCCATGTCTTTGGCACGTGTTGCATAAGGCACGGCCTCAGGTTCACTGCAAATTTCCAAGTCCATTTTCTGAGAATGAAGCAATGAAAATAAATCTTTTTTCCGAAATTTGTGCTTGGATTCCGTATCACTTATAAGCGCAAGCTCCAAGTCATCTTTGCCCATTCCAGACTGGGATGCCTCAGGCCTGTGGCTTCACACTGCATTTCAAGTCCGTGAAAATTTGATCTTGTTTTTAAGCCTGAGTATCTTTTTCCTTTCATTATTTTAGTGAATTCTTTTTCCTTCCTAGTTCCCTCATATATTAACATACAATAATAACTGTCCTGGAGGAGCATGAATAAGTTTATACATTTTGTATCTCCTTATTTAATTTGTTTCAGTGCATGTAAGAGAAGGATGCATGCTCTGTGTTTAAATTAGAAAATATTTCCAATTAAACGTGGTCTCTACATCTTCCTGATTCACAATGCATAAAATAAAAAGATTAGTAAGATATGGGACTGCTATTCAAGAAAATAGTAATCCAATATTTGGACATGAATGAAAACAAATTACTATAATGCAAGGGGGCAGTCACTTGATACATAGTTGCAAACAGAATATAATGGATAAGACTGGAATAGATTGTGTGTGTTGGTGGGAATATCAGCAAGGAGTTTTCAGGAAGAATAATAATTCACATAGGTAAATGGAGAAGGTAATGAATTGCAGATAAATGAAATAATGGTTGCAAAAGAAAAAGCATTCTCCATGTGTTGGCAACAGGGGGTACTCCAATTGGAATGGGAGGCCACACAAATTAGAGAAACCGTGGAAGAAGTTTGGTGGCTTAAGTGTTAGACTAAGAAACTGATCCTCAGTATGGTGGGTAACTGGTATTGTCTGATAGTATATGAGATAATGAGAATAATCTAGATGGGGATGCTCATTTTGTCTGGTAGTTGAAGCTACAGGAAGATACTAAAAATTGGGATCATCAGCTGGGAAATGTGCCCTGCCATTAAAAATAATTAGGCTCTGGAAGTATATAATTTATTGTGTTGGACTTTTTTTCCCCGAAGTCTTTGTTAAATATAGTGTGAAATGAAACTCAGCTAATATTTTACATAATTTTTATAATTTACTCCTTGCAACAGTCCTATTAAAAAAATCCTTCTATTTTCTCCCATGTACGAGTATACACAAGGTAAGTCCGGGTTGGAAAGATAATAATTGGCAGAAGAGTGATTAGTAGAGGAGTGTTTTGAGTCCAGAGTCCCCACACTTAGACACTCCTCCCAAGTGCCTCCCTGAAACATTTGGGGACAGTAAAAGTTTACAGTTACATTTCTCGCATTTACTCATTTTATGTGTTTTTGTAATGTCTAGCCTTTCATCTGGGTGATAACAACTTCAGTCTTTAAAATTATATTAAAATATAATGACAAATGTAAATTTTGGATAACCATGCTTAACAAGTGGGCTCTTGGGGGAGAAATTTCTAGCAGTGAATTATGAGTCAAAGCTATTCTTGAGACTTATTAACATAGATATAAGTAGAATGGAATAATAATGACATGATAATGAAAATCACATTTCTATAATTGAGATAATCCATATCCGCAGTACCCCAGGTTAATTTGTAAAATTAGTATGAAGTGATAAATGAATAGAAAGTTATTGTGCTACTGCACAAAGTAATTTGCTGAGGCAGTGTTCAGCTTAGCGATTCTGCTTGGCATTTACTTTCCTTAGACTGTTTTTTTCTTTTCTGATATTCAGATTGTAAAATGAAATGGTTCAAAGGTAATAAAATCCCACATTCTTAGTGTAATATGTTTTTCTATGTGGTTGGGTTCATGCCATTTTTTTTTCACATTATATATTATGAGTATACATATTTCATTTTTGTGGTTCTAATTTTGATGACTCTTGTAGTACAGATTATTTTAATGGAATTCTCTGCTCTACTAATTTGGACTTCTTAAAATTTAAATGTGAAGTTTTAATCTAAATAAAATAATTAATTTAAGATTACTTGATTTTAATTATAAGCATTCTTTATGCATGGCTAAATGTCAAATACAAAAATGTGCATTGAATTAATACGCAGAAAGAATAAATGCATGTTTAAATGTGGACATCAAGGCATGTTATGAAAAATATTACTAGTGGCATTATTGCAATATTAATTAATTAACAATATTAAGAAAACAAACAAACAAACAAAAAATCTGGAGGAAGCCTGGGCACATTTTCCCAAACAACACATTGGATAGGTTGCAACTGGCCCCCGTTAGTTTGAAACTGGCCCTGGTAGAAGTACTATTTATACTATGAAAATCAGCAAATGCTTTTGTTGAAAATCCGTTCTTTGTTATCCAGAAAGGCAGCCGTCAGAGTTATCAAACACATACCAGCAAACCACAGAGTGAAAATCAGGTGGGAATGAGTTTGAGTTTCAAAGATTGGGAGACAGGCAGTGAGTAAGCACAACGTCTCAAGAGGTTGCACTGTAAAGAGAAGCCAAAAACGGCAGAAGCTAGAAGAAAAAGTGTGGTGGTTCAGAAAGGTGTGTTTTATTGCTGGTGTTATTTGGTGTGTTAGTTTTGTTTTTGTTTAAGTTCTAGGAGAAATAAAAGGCATAGGTAAGCACACGGGATGTTTCAGTCAAAAGGCGCATAACTGGATGACGCAGTAGAGGAAAGGTAGAATGGCCAATGTGACTGCCTTGGATCTGTAGGAAGAAGGTGGGACTTCGTGTGCTAATAATGAGGTTGGTATCAGACTCTAGTGTCTAGAGTTCTTGATCACATCGGGGCAATGGACAGACCACGTGAGCACACTGGCAGACGGGGGGACAGCTAACAGCGATGGAATAGCTCTTCTAAGTGAAGTCATTATTTCCTTAAGAGACATTAACTTTTGACCCTGTATAGCTCATATCCATTTCATTCTTTCACGCAAGACCTTCAGAGAAAATAAAATTCAAGTTTACCGTCTAATTACCTTAACATTGCATTAAAATACGCCACATTCAAATCTCAACCCACTCTCTTACGTTGATATATTTAAGTAGGCCCATAAAGAGTGTCACTTCTTTAAACAGTCTATAAAATGATTTATCTGGAAGGGCCATGCAATACCACTTTTGTACAGAATTCAGAATTCTCTACCTGCTATTTTACGCACATCCAAAAAGAACAACACCAGCAATGAATTTTCCAACGCAGCCTACTAAACGGTCACTTTATCTTCTTCAGTCTGCAATTAGAGACTGCTTGTATACAACATTATGTTTGCTAATGAAAAGGTTCATAACAGGCTTCCCCAACATATGCTACTTTGGCATGTGGATTATTTTGAGCTGAAGGCAACAGAGAGCCTGTGGGCTCAAAAGAAACCTTTACTCTCTCTTAAAGAATCTAAACTGGGGCCTTGCCATTACTAAGAGCCATTACTAAACTTTCTAATTACCGTACATTATTTCTCATGGTCCTATGAATGACCTCCCTCCCTTCTGAAGCCCCAGGATACCAAGCCTCATTCCTTGTCTCAGGACATCACATGTACCACATTTTACCTGTCTGTCTCTGAACCTATCATCTATGTGGGGTCTCTCACTCTCTCATGTATATGGGATTCCCATACGTACATATGTAATTATAGTTGGCTATGTTCTCTTGCTAATCTGTCTCATGGCGACTTAGTTATTAGGACTGCTGAAAGAGCCTCAAATGGTAGAGGAAATTTTGTCCTCCTCCTCAACCTTAATGTACTCTATAAACAAATAATTGATGTGTATCTCAATGTCAGTTGAGAGCAGAAAAATACCAATTTTCAATTCTACTGCATGTCTTCTTCCAAAAATATGTATACATAATATATAAAATTTGTGTATATATAAAATGCACAGACATATATATTTTCACTTATATAAATGGAGTCACTCATTTTATTAAGTAAACTGTACATAATTAATAGGTTCACTGAAATAATAAGCTATTTTCTCCCTTGTAGGCTGTGTAATAGTTATATGAAGATTAAATATTTTTAGAAATTATTTGGATTATTTATCAAGTGGTGCTTTCAAAATACATACGTATGTAATATTTAAGATCATATATACTTAAGATTATAATTGTAATTAAGTAATACTTAAGATTATAACTGCTGCTAAACATACCCAAATTGTTTTGTTCCTAACAAAAGAAATCCAAACACAAATTCCAATTTTCCTTACCCCTCCATGTCCATTCTGTAAATCCAACAAATCAAAAAGGGGAAGATTTAAATAGCTGTTTTTGTCACCATCTATCCACATGCTTCAATAACATCCTATCCAATTGACAGAGTGACAAGCCCAGTGTCTTTATCTTATACTCCATAATTTAATTTGCAAACAGCTAGCTTGACTTCCTTACCCTCCAGGCCCAGTGTCAGCCTTATTGAATGAAAATTCAATTCTCACCAAAGGCCCTCAAGGGTAATTACTGGCCTATGGTGAGCAGTTTTGCAGAAAGAACTCTAGGTGAAATTCAAACAATGTCTCTTTATGGTGATAAAAATCCTATCTCCATGGATTTACATTTCACTCCTCTTGCATAGTAACCTAATGATTTGTTTACTTTCTCTACTTCATAGCAGGCACAAGGCATCAGATTTTCTCCCAATTATTCTTCAGTCCTTTTTCTTGGTCAGTTTGTGCAATATATTTCAATTTTAGAGTGTTCACTTTATTGGGGTATTTGCAATTATAATTATGCTGATATTTATTTGGATTTTAACGTACAAAATAAATGTTCTGAAATTCTAAAATAGAGCTGAGTGAATTGGTTTGAGGGAATGTTTACTCAAAAGCAACTGATTAATAACTACAGGAAAGGAGACATGCTTGAGAGGGATAATGAAAACTGACAGCTAACATGCTTTCAGAAAATGAGGAAGTCACAGGTTGAGGTTTTGTGAACAAAGGTGAGAAAATGTTTGTTTGTTTGTTTACTTATCATACAGATATGTCTGAACCTGCAAGTCAATTCCAAGACTGTAACTTAAAAAATAAAAATAAAAAAATAAATTACATTCCTATTTACCTGAATTATATAATAAAAAAAGATTCTGTCTAAGGACTTTGTGTGGCAAACACTTTACTTAGTTTTCCAGTTAGTTATCTAGTCATCGTC